TACATCTTCTATTAACACACTGGAAGAAGTAAGAGGGTGAGTGCAGCAGTGCTGTCTCACGCTACAGATCCATCTAGTTCAACATGTGGTCCTGACTGTGACCTAAAGTGGATGTCCAGGAGTCAGCGTAAGGTAAGGGCAAGTATAGGGGACACTTGCCCCAAAATGCTTTGATCATCCGGGCTGGTTGTCTTTGAAACTTTTCCACATCTGTTTAATCCTCGTGGAGAGGTGTGACCCAGAACTGTGCATGCAGTGCTCGAGAGGGGTGAGCCATGAATATATACGGGAGCTGTATCGGAATCGCGGTTTGGTTCTCTGTTTCTTTGTAGTCCCTAATACTTGATTTGCACTTCTGACTTCTGTTGAGCAAATGCCACGCACTACTGCTACTAGCAGCATTCAGCTATTTTGAGTGCAGATTTGAATGCATGAAGTAGCTATACTGGGATTAAACCAATGTTGTGGTTTGCTGTTGGGAGGTATTCTTCCCACTGTGCCCTTCGTTATCAGTTTGTCAGGGGCTGTGTGTGTTTGAAGGGCTGGTAGGGTTTGTTCTGCCTGCAGTGCATGCTTTTTAGACTTTTTTTTTAAATCAAATTTTATCGAACAAATTCCTTGCAGAGGATCAGGATGCTGGTTATGCCCTTGGTCTCCCTCGCTTTAACTCTGGTAGTTTGTTGTAGTTGTGTGTGTTAGTCTCTTGGGTTGCTTGTATGTTTTTGTTTTGGAGTGCCTGAAGTATTTTGGTAATCGGGAAAATTACAGGGAAGAGATCCTTTGAGCTGACTATTTCTTATATGACTGTGTGTAATTGCAGGATTTTGGAGCTGGTGATGCAGACGTTCCCTTCCACACCTGTGTTTCCAGTGTGATTGTCTAATCTCCAATAAGTAATCCAGTAATGAGACCTGGGTAATTGGCTATTAGCGGTTAAACTTCTAACTCTGACTTGCTAGAGTAATTTTACATCTCATCAATGTAATTTGGAATTGTGTCACAAAAAGTGGGTCTTGTCTAAGCTGTTTTGAAGGAGGTTTTGTACTGTAGTGTTTCTCTGGGAAGAAAGAATGAGAGTTGGGCCTAATAATTTGTAAGGAAAACCTTAGAAACACTCGATTTAGAAGCTTAAGCTGATGGTCTTTCATGCATTTAGGTTACTGAGGAGCAGGGAGGGAGGGAGATGGAGGGAGCTTGGTATAAATAGTTAACATATATACTGCTCAGCACTGGGATTTTTGTGAAGGATTCTGTGTAGGCATTGTCCTGCTTTGTCCAAATGGTAGAAACATCCTTTAAAAAGTATGATAAGAAAGAAATGCCATCTCTCCTGGAACCCTTCAGAAGCCAGGAGATTTCATTTAGCATATTAGTTGTATCCTTTCTCCCAA